ACTTGATAGGATTAAGAAAGGAGATTAATAAATCACACCTCTGGGTGTGTCTGTGAGGTGTTTCCAGAGATAATTAGAACTCTGGCCAAATGAATGGAATGAATGGTTAGATTAATTGATAGATTCACAATTTGAATAGATTATTGAGAGGGAGTGGAACTTCTTGCCTTGTTGGAGTAAGTAGGTCACCAGGGGTGTGTCCTTGGGGGTAAGAAATTGCACTGACCTCTTCATGTAGCTGTTTTCCACTTCCTTTCCACCATGAGGTAAACAGTTCTCCTCATCACATGCGCCTGCCACTATGTTGTTCTGTCCAAATGCATGAGGCCAAAGGACCATAGACTGAAACCCTGAGCCCAAATAAATCTTTCTTCCTTTAATTTGTATCTATCAGGTATTTTTTCATGGTGATGATAAAATTAACTAATACAACCTCAAAATGATCTGCAATTTCATTTACTTTCTCTTCTAGACTATGTCCTTCTTATAGTCTTAATACTTCTAAGACCCTCTTTAAAAAAATAAGACTTTCCAAATCTTAAAAGAATTTTCTCATAGCATCCTCACAAGTCTTCAGAGAAAGAATTATCTGGAAGATATTTCTGGGTGTGGATTTTGTTAGATTCATAGACTATAAACTGGTACACAAGAAGCCCATAAAGTTGTTTTTCACAGACCTAATGATATAATTTATAGGCCATAAAAGTCACACTTTTAAAATGTACAATTCAATGGCTTTTATAATATTCACAGATTCACCATAGATTTTAGAAGATTTTAATCATCTCAAAAAGAAATCTGCTATCCGTTAGTATCAGCTCACATATTCCCATTCCCTCAGTTTTAAATAACCATCAATCTGTTTTCTGTCTCTATAAGAATATCTTATGTGTATGGCCTCAAACAGTATCTGAGTTTTATGTCATGGACTTTTTAAAGTTCACTCATGTCTTAGTATGTATCAGTTCTTCATTCCTTTACATAGAAAAATAATATTTTATTATTGCCTATGCCTATTTTACATTTTATCAATCCACTTGTGAATTGATGGACATGTCGTTGGTCCTGCCTTTTGTTCATTATGAATAATGGTACTGTAAACATTCATGTACAAATTTTTGTGTGGATGTTTTCATTTCCCTTGGGTATGTATCTAGGAGGAACTTCTGGGTCATAAAGTAGCTCTATTTAATAGTTGAGAACTACATGAGTATTTTCCAAAATTATTGCATCATTTTTCATTGCCTCCACTGGAGTAAGAGGGTTCTGATTTCTCCTTGTTCTCTTGTTGTCTTTTTGTTTTGTTTTGTTTTGTTTTTTGGTGGGACTAGGGTTTGAACTCAGTGTTTCATGCTTGTAAATGAGGCACGCTGCCACTTGAGCTACCCTGCCTGCCCTCTTCTCACACATTCTCACTAACCTTTTTTATTATCTGACTTTCTGAATCTAGCCATCTAAGTGAATATACAGTAGAATCTAATTGAGGGTTTATTTGAATTTCACTGATGACTGTCACAACATTTTCAAAGAAATCATATCAGTTTGAATTGAAAGGGGCAGATCTGGGGCAATGTGAAAGAGGCCTTTGGACTCTCTACCACCATTCAGCTATAATATGGTCTATTGTTCTGGAGATGGAGGAATAATTAAAAGTATGGAAGTGGAAGTCCAGAAGACAAAGCAAAGAGACACAAAGACATATTGAGGTGACAATGTTTGGGCCCTGATCAATAAAATGGCAACATGTGTATAGTTGGATTTTGGAATTGTTGTGAATAATATTTATTCAAGTAAGTTTGAATAAATAAGTATTTATTCAAATAAATATATTTTGCAAATAATATTTGCATAAATGATCATTCCATATTAGCTGTTAAACAACTTTAATACTTTGATTAAATATGCCTCATAAAATGTAAAGTCACAAAAGTAGTAAATCATGGGTATTTGAGGCCTTTCCTCTCATGTTCCAATTGAATTATTCATAAACATGAAAGAGAGATAAATCCTAACAGACCTGGAAATTGTCTTTGATTACTGAATTAATTCTTGATGAACAAAGCTGAGATGGTACCTCAAGTAAAAACCAGTGGTCCTTTGGGTCCTCTAATCTCCAATATGTGTCTAACATGTCTGTGGTAAGGCTAATCTTTATGTCAAAGATTGGAGAGTTCATATAAATAAAGCTTCAAGATCTTATGGAGTCAGGAATGGACCTTAAATTTTTACCAGGCAATTGGAGATATTTATTAAAAGATAATAGGAGAAAAAGATGAAAGCTGCCATTTGAGAATGTTGTTATGGTGAAGAAGCAGGGCAGACAGGAACATAGGCTCAGAGAGTGTAAGGCTAAATTAAGAACAGATTAGGCGGGACTCATCTATATGAATTTAACTTGTTTCCTAATTTAGCTCAGCCTTGAATCTCACTGTCTGCTCCTGTGATGGCACTGGCCAGAGTATAAGTAAAATGTTTTATGGATACTGTGATCTAGTATCTTTCTTTTCTACTCTACCTTGGGACTTCAATAGATACTGGTGTCAGCAACAGCATCTACTCAGTGAAGGTGGACCATAGGAGTCATTCTAGAGTATCCTTTCTCACCAATTGCTCCATCCAAAAATCAGCAATTTCTGACAATTCCTTCTCCTATGTTTTTCAAAGCTATTCTTTCCTTATTTTCTATTTTACTATCAAATCATTTCAAATATTTACCTTCTGTCTCCAGGTATAGTGAAATTGCTTTACTTTGCTTCAGTTAAAGTTATGCTACACTTTGTTGTTAAAGTGATCTAAATACACACAACTGTTTTGTTTCCTTTCATAAAACCATTCAGTAGTTCCTCTCTGGATGAAATACACCTCACATGGAATTGATGGCTTTCTGTAAAATGTATCTGTTCCCACTTCTCCTCCCCACCCAATTCTTAATGCCTCTTAAATGTGATTCTCACGTATCCCGCTCTTTCATTCTGATGTGCCACATCTAATGTTGCTTCTCATACTTGGAACATCTCGCCATCGTCCTTACCTTGCTTTATCTGGTCATATTATGACTATGTTTTGGTGCCTTATCTACCAGAAAGTGTTCTTCTACAGTACTGGCTGAGAAAAGAATCTCTTCTTTGAGTATACTGATCCTCATTATACTTACCATATTGTGAATATAAGTGCCAAATTATTTCCACACAAGTAAGCATGCAGGTTTTATATAACATAGAGTTCAAGGTCAAATTTTTAGTTGCTTTTTTATCAGCACAATGCCTGGAACTTAGCAAATTCTCAATAAACCATGATGTTGAACTGGTCTCTAACCACCAATATTTTCTTGGAGGGTTATGTATCCTTTTAATGTGCAAGCTGCTTAAGTAGAGTAGAACAGGGTATGGTCAAGACCGTGGAAATTTTCTATGTGACTATAGTTCTGTTGTCCATAATGGGAAGAGGACTATCCTCTCAATACTCAAAGGATTAATTTAGAATACTGACTGATAGGACAGCTTACATGGATGTGAGTGCCAGTACATGTCAAGTCCTTTCAATATATTATTTAATTTCTTTATCATAAATAAAATATTGATAGAAGTACAAAACAGAAATTTCCCACAATACCATTGTTTCATCATTTTCTGTGTTTCATTTATACTTGGTACTCTTCAGTTTTTCTTGTGTTTTCTACTAAAATCATTGTTATGTACAGTTTAACTTAATAGTGTGCTATAAATATTTTCCATTTGTTAGGACTTTCCAGTATCTCCTCATTATCTCTCACTCTATTCACTGAGGAAGAACAATTGGATTCTATGTCTTGCTTTCAGATGCCACAAATAGTTTTTCAGCATTTGTTCTGGAGTTCCCAGATTCCAGCAAATATTTCTTCACCCTTTACAGTCTTGTGATGATGATGATGTAAATGAAAGACAGTCATTTCCACAAGAAACTATGTAGAGAAATCTGACAAAATTTCCAAGTTTAATTTTTTATGATTTTAAGATTTTATATTTAGATCTATAGAACTATGATTGTAGCAAAGACTTTAATTGCAGTGCTTAGATTTTAAAATGTCACTAGACATTAAAATGTCAGTATGTCTCTATACATACTGAAGCTTAAATTATGCCAAATGGTATAATTGTTTTTAATTTGCATTTAAGTATATGTAGAATTCCAGTAAATCATGGTCATGGCCTCAAAACCTGATTTCCTAAACAGTGAGAATCAATTCAGTTTTCCGAGTCCTACCTGCTTCAGTGTCTACTATACACCTCGACCTTCCTATCATAAAGCTTGTCAGAATGATTGATGCAATGTACTAATTTAGCCTGGATACCCCTGACAAATCCTCTACAACAACATTACTGACATCACTATACTGATTGTGTTAGTCTGGTATAGGTTAAGTATGCACAGCATAGAAACAGAGAACTTGAGTCCATACATATCTGGACAAACTATTTGATCTAAGACCCAATATTTGCATATGCAAATTGAACAGACTTCATAATACTAGAACCATAGATTTATTATGAAGCCTAAATGTAGAAGTACAGAAGTTTTGGAGTGAGATTTTCTGGATTCAAATGCTGATATCACATCTACTTATCTGCATGAGTGTGGGTGATCTACTTAATGTCTCTACCCAGAATATTTGTTGATAAAATAAAAATAATGGTACCACTGTATCAGGTTGTTATGAGGAATAAATTGGTTAATATATGTTATGCATTTAGAATAGGGCCTGATACATAAAAAGTACAATTATTATTGGCTAAAAATAAATAAATGAAAGTTTTGACTTTGGCAGGAATTCAATAATAGTAATATTTATTATTACTTTTACTGATTGCTAGGTGTTCTCAAATTGATGTTCAGGTGTATAAATGTGAGCGTTAAAATAAGAAAATAGGATTTTTACATAAGCACTCAGTTAAGCATCATATGGTGTAAGTGTGATATGGGTTATTAAATCTTTATAAGTTCTTCTAATTCTAAGAATAAATCTAAGAATGCATCCTGACAGTCACCTTCCTCAGGGCTTCTTTCACATCTCTGTTCCTCAGACTATAGATTAGGGGGTTCAACATGGGAATTACCACTGTGTAGAACAGAGACACCACCTTATTCTGCTTAGTTGAGTAGCTGGATCTGGGCATCACATAAATGAAAGTAATAGTTCCATAGTAAAGAGTGACTGCAGTGAGGTGGGAGGTGCAGGTGGAGAAGGCCTTGTGTCGCCCTTCTGTGGAATGCATCTTCAAGATTGTAGTGAGGATATATATGTAAGAGAGAGAAATAATAAACACTGTGACCACAATGATGGAGGCAGAAGAGATGGAGGGAATAATTTCAATAATGGAGATATCTGAGCAGGCTCGTTTCAACAAAGGTGAGAAATCACAGAAAAAGTGATCTATATGATTTGGTCCACAGAAGGACAGACTCAGTAAACAACTCGTAAATGTCGATGCATTCACACAGCCACCTAGATAAGAAGCCCCTACTAAGAGCATGCAGACTTTGGGAGACATGTGTACAGAGTAAAGCAGGGGAGAACAGATGGCCACATAGCGATCATAGGCCATGGCAGCCAGGAGAAAGCACTCTGTCGTCCCAAATGTTACCCCAGAGCAGAGTTGGGCTTCACAGCCAGCCACAGGGAGGGCTGTTCTCTGTCCAGTGAATCCTATAAGCATTATAGGTGTGACTGATGTGGAAAACCCAACATCCACAAAAGCCAGATGACTGAGGAATAGGTACATGGGGGTGTGGAGCTGGGAACAGCTTCTTATTAAAGTGATTATGCTGATATTGCCTATTAAAGTAACAACATATATTCCCAGAAATACCACAAAGAAGATGACACAAAGTAAAGGATCCTCTGTTAATCCCAGAATGATGAACTCTGTCACAGTGGTGTGGTTTCCAACCTCCATCTTTTGTAAGAATTGTGTCTGGGGGGAAAATTGGAATATTCATTTCTTTAATGTTTTCTTTCAACCCATTCTTTGTTTTCTTTGATCATTCCTCAAACTCAGTCAAGATAATCTCTTCCAGTACCAAACCTGTAAATATGAGTGCTTTAGAGAATTGGGGTTTTTTTTTTCCTTTTCCTTGACATAAAGAGCTTTTTTTTCATGTAATATTAAATAAAAGTGCCTCTCAAACCTTGACACCTAGGATGATCCTTCTCCCAAGGTCCAGATTCATAGTTTCTATGACCTATTAGGATTCTGATTATTCTCAATGATCTATTGGAAATCCCACAAACACCTCAAACTCAGTGTTCCCCGTACCATACTCATCCTTTTGATTTTATATCTGGAGGATGACACCACCACTCACCAGTCTCTCAGGGTTGCAATGTGGGAGGCTTCCTAACTTTCTTATTCTTCTCATTACGCCACATCTAGTAAAATATCATTGACTCAGTCTACAATTTACTTCCCTTTTTGACTCATCACCTTGTCTTTTCATTTCCAGTGTCCTCACTTAGGTCAAGACCCTGATTATTTTTCCTATTTTATTTAATTATATATCTTCTTTCCTTTCATTATTTTCCTCCAATAATTCACAATTATATGCCATAGTGATCTTTTGCCTTTACAAAGCAGAAGAGGCCAACGTGATACACTTAATTCTTTCAATGATTTCTCAGATCTTCATGGTGAAATGTAGTCTCATTTACACAGAATACAGTATCCTTTCTGGCATATCCCTGCATGCATTTTTGCTTGTCTCTCAAGATTTTATTTTATCCACTCCTCGCAATGACCCAGATTTCCTGAACTATTTATAATCCCCACTCTAAGCTTTATTTTCTTGTCTTTGCTCCACTTTTCACTTGCTTGGAAGATTCCTACATTCTGCCATCAAAACTCTGGGTGAGTTGTCATCTTTCACTGTCACTTTCCCTCTGAATCTTTCTCTGGTATCATCTTTATGTTGTAGATATCACAATTTGCAGATGTCTAAATTGCTATCATTTACCCTGGGCTATATTTGTTTGCTAGTTTTCCATCCATTCCCTTCATTTAGTACATATTCTCCTCAATAACTCTTTATCCTTGTATTCTTCCCTGTGTTTGGGTATAAAATGTGCTGGAAAAAAAGCCCTTGATGATTTTATGCATGGTTAGCATAGTGAGTAGGCTCTTGCAGAACCAGATATGAAGATAATTGGTATTCTTAGTCCAGATAATCAGCTTCAGAAAGAAGAAAGATAATGAAGACTTTCAGTTTATGGAAAGTACTATAGGTGATAGCTCATTTTGTTATGAATAAAAATTATATAAGTATGTTGGGGAAAAGACTTGAAAATTCAAAATATTCCTCTGAAATGTAGCTACTATTACAAAGGTCAAACAGTATATGTTCAGTACATTTCTTTCCAAGAACTTCTCCCCTCTGGATATATTTTAAGATAGGATCTTGCTATGTACCCAGACTGGCCTCAAATTTTAAAAAGGATTTTAATTTTATTTCTGACTTAACATACATTAATAGTATGAGAGGATTCCATTGTGATAATTCCATATATGCATACAGTATACTTTAAACAAGTCCACCCCCTCTATTATATTTCCATTCTCCTCCCTCCTAACCACTTTTCAAAGTGCTCTGTGGGTTTCATTATGTTGTCTTCATATATATACATATATCTACCCTCCAGATTGTTCGCCATTTGCATTCATGTCCCATTATTATTATCATCATCATTTTAGGTATAGGTTTCACACTGACCCCATACTTGAGATTCTCCTGTCTTAGTATCCCTAGTGCTGGGATTACAGGTGTGCCCCACTATGCTCACCTAGATTTATTTTCAGTGTTGCTATTTTTACTTCAAATTCCAATATAAGAATTGTATTATAATTCCTCACAAACATAATTTTGATCGCTGCATGATAATGCACTGAGTGAGTAGAATTTAATGTAATTGATCACCATTCCTTTTGGGCACTCAGCTGTTTACAACTCTTGACTATCAGAACTAGAAATCCTACAAATTGTATCATGACAAGGGAATAACATGACAAATGTAAATTTAAATAGTCATTCCATTCTTAGTTATTTTCCTAAAGGCAGTACATCAAAAGAAGTGTGTTCTGAGCTCAAAGTTTATTCTTATGATATGCAATCATGAAAATACTAAGCCAAGTTGCTCCCTATTGCTCATTGATTTGTTGAGCTCTTGGCTGCATTTTGATTAGAGTTTAGTGCTTTCTCCATGTGTTGCCAGTGTGTTTGGGACAAAGGCAAAGTTCCTGAATGAAGAAACATTCCTAAGAAGGCATAATTAACAACAAATAATGTCTTCCAAAGGTCTTCATCCCTTAAGAGTTTTAAAGTTTCTTCTCTTAGAATAAGCATTTAATGTTTTTGATGATGGGTCTGTGGTCTTTGACTAAGAGCACTGTGAAATGTAATAAACTAATAACAACCTATAACCAAGTAATGACTGTGCTCTGTCTCTGCTTTTTCCTGATCTTCATTAAGTGTGTTTAATTTACTCTAGTAACAGGTAGCTTACTGACTTTTTGTAAGCTCTATTTTGCTTATATCAATTGGGTAGCTATGAGTTTAATGATATGAACCATCTGCTTTCTATACAAAAACAATGCAATATCTGAATACAACTATCATGCCTACACTGTTTTTCCTTTTCTAAAACCAAGCATCCATACCTCCTATGTCCATCCTACCTGTGGCATTATTTCCAGTTCCATTTGTAACAGGGGCTTAAATGCTGTTTTTTGCTAAACAGACTCCTATCTTGGGTCCATGAATTCATTAAAAGCAGGAAATAGATGATTGCAACATCTTTTTTCCACAAAAATGGAAGGAATAAATTGACAATAGGGAAAATGTATTACTAAAGGGGACTATGAAAAGGAAAAACTTTTGGTGTAGCCAGCATGCATGCTGGTCATTTAACTCTGCTTGTTAATCAAACTGACATTTTCTTTCTTTGTCTACAAGCCAGAGAACCCAGAGTTAAGTCCCTTTACTCTTCAATTGAATCAGGTAATCTACCCCTTAACTTTCTCTGACCCACCAGAGAAGTAAACCTGTCAGTCAAGACGTACAGCTTCAGATATATGGTGCCAGAAAACTGAGAACCAAGAATATCAGTCACTCTGGATATGGGTTTCATCACACAGTCAAGCTGAGCCCCTGAATTCCCCTACAGAAAGAGGATATTTTCTCTCAAAGGTGGGAAAACAGAGCTGTGAGGGGTTGACTCTTCCTGTCTCCTCTTCGTTTGATGAATAATAAACCTTATTTCCTTTTCCTCTATAACCCTTCTCACCTTATTTGTGAATTGAGGCCAGAGTACTGGCTTTCCAGTATCACCTTGAAATCCTCATTTTCAGACTCTTATACATACTCTGGTCTGAGCAAGGAGGCCAAGGTCTGAGCAGTATTTGTGCTCTTTGCTTTCTAACTCATTAGGGTTCAGTGAGTTGATTCTGCTTTCATTTTGACACTATGTAGGAGAAATGGAGATGGACTTCAGACACTGTAGATCCTGGGCTTCCTCATTGCCAGCTGCTCCTCCTGGACAGTTTTTGTACTTGTTAATGGGGAATAATTGCCCCTATAGTTTAGCTGTGTTGTGAGACTAAAAGAAATTATATTAATATCTGAGCCAGGTCTGGTGGTACATGACTATAATGCCAGACATTTGGGATGCAGAGGTAGGAGGATCTCGGACAGCCTGGACAACTGCAGCATGACCCTTTCTCAAGAAAAATGACATCTATAAAATGTCCATAGGTAGCTATTTAGTCATACACTGTTGTGAAGTGCTTTTTATTCCTTAGATAGGGGCTTGCCATGTAGCCTGGCCTGGACTCTGGATCTTTCTGCCTTAGCCTGGAGTGTTGGAATTACAGGACTTTGCCACCAGGCCTTGTTTAAGTAACTTTTTAATTAAATGAAAATGAAGTTACATTTTCAATTGCTCTCCTTTTTATGAGAAAGTATAATTTTTCTTTCAATAAGTCAGAGGATTTCCACCACAAATCCAAAATAAGACAGGAAGTGTACTGCCTGATGCCTTTTACATATGGACTATGCCACTCATTTGCATAGAGGAAGCTCTTACCTTCCTCTTCGTTGGACACTTAAAGTCTAAAGCTCTCCACTATTGGCATGTGTACTTCTTAACCTGGGCCAGGGACTTTTACCACTCAAATACCCTTTTGTTCAATACATTGGTCAGTTGTGATTACAGAGTATAGCACTATGAGCTTTATTCAACATTAGAATCAGGATATTTCTTTTGATTTCCTTTTCATATCCCCAGCTGTTCAAGCCCAACAAAGGTTTGGGTTGGCACAGACCATCCACACTGCCTGGTTTTCCTGGGAAGACTGACTGAGGGTCACTAGAATGACCATTACACAGTCTCTCTTTCTGAGGGAACAGTTTCCACCAGGGTCAAAGAACTAAAGGTTGGTGAAAGCTGTTATTTTATTTTCAATTTTTTTCTTGAACAAATGAAAACTCATCTTAACAAAAGCCATGAATCTTGAGCTTACCTTCTAGAGGCACAATTACTGGTGCTGAATACCGAACAGGACTTTATAAAGTAGATGTTTTCAATTTAACTTTTTAGATAGTTGGAATTGAATACCCAGTTATGTCAGCCATTGAATGCACTCATCATCAAGGAACATAGATACATGTGGTGAGGACCAGGATGGTGTCTTTGTGTGTAAGAGTGGGAGAAAGAAGAAGGTTCTAATGAAACATGACAAATTCTCCAGGGCTATTGGTTCTTGTCCCATTGAGATAAAGGTCCTTGGGTTTATTGTACAGAAATGACTTATGGAACCAGGTGATTCATTAAAGCGTAGTTGGCCCTCCCCAAAGGGACATCAACATGCCATGGTGTTCTTTTTTCTCTTGTTTAATGAATGTGGGGGGAGTTCCTGCTTTCCCAAAAGCATTTCTGACATTGAGAACAAATAACTTAAATGCTTAATTGGTGTTAGTATCATACCAGTGTACAATAAAATAACATTTGAATCAAATTTTTAAAAGGAGCATTGGACTTGAAGGAGAGAATACAGAAAAAAAGATTATTACTTTGACCTTGTGACCACTTTACTATAGAAAAAAAATAAGACAATTCTGGAAATCTGTATATACATTATTATCCCATTTTTAAGTGTCTTGGAACTCTTTCTGAGCATTTACATTCCATTGAGGCTGCAGGAAATATGCCAAAGCCATTAAATACTTAACTCAATTTACCCTAGTACCCAGCCTTCCTTTTCGTGTCCCAAAGGTTACCATTAGGACACACCATTTCCACAGCTCTTTTGACAAGTTCCAGGAAGCAGAGCGTATCAAAGTGGTTTATTTTGCTATAAACATCTGTCATTGTCTACCCTCAAATTCTGCTCAGGGTCAAACTCTTCCTTCTTTACCATACATTTACTTCATATCCCTTCTAGCTTCTGACCCAAAATGTAATATGTCCTTCAACACAAAGCCATCTTATTTTTTTATTCTCCTTCCAGGCTGACCTACTAAACTCAGCCTCACTGTGAATCTTCAAATAACCTGTGAATCAGCTTTAGCATATTTCATTTGTGTGCTAAGACAGACCCAAAAATCTGCTAGATATATGCATGTCTGTGACTACCTAATGTCCTTAGTCTCATATTTTCTGTGACCCTAAAGCACCGCTGTGACTCAATTTCAGCATATCTCAACCACATCTCTCAACCACACACTAAGTCTCTACTGCCTGCCCAGGGACTCACCCAGTGATTCAGTAGGCGCCCTCCCATTGATACATCAGAAGCAAGCTTGTTTATTCTGGTAACAGACCTACCATCTTTAGACCTTTAAGTGGACCCGCCTCCCAGCATCAGTTCTATAGGGAAGTCATCCAGATACCAGAGAGGATCCCTGTTTACCACACGTCCTGGTAACAGATCTGCCAACACACATCACACTTTGGATCCATTTGTTATTGACATAGTTACATAAACCCATGGAGAAAGAAACCCAACCTTACACCACATTCAGTAAGAAAAACTACTCAAAATGTGATAGGTAGAAGTGCAAATGCTAAAGCATTTCTAGAGAAATTTGTAGAAGCAAATGAAAGAGAAAATATTTCCTTTTTGGGACAAAGTAAAAAGTTTTAGGATAACATGAAACCACAAACCATGAGCTAACAAAAAGAAATCACTTTTGATTAAAGTAAATTTATGATAAGTTTTGGAATTATGTATTGCAAATATTCAGACTTTCTTCTTTTCTTAAACTATTTCTTTTACCTATTATTCATAACCATATAAGTTTTAGATTTAACTTAACAGTTTGTACAAATGATCCTATCACATTTATCACAATTTCAATGAATATATAGTTCAATATTTTGAAAACTTGCCTTTTATAATAATTTCTCTTCTACCCCATGAACATTTAATTTATGTCTTTATTTTCTGTCCCCAGAGTTCTGTAATTTTCAGTTTAGAAGTGCTACATGACTTTCATGTCTTTTTATTCTTATTTGTAAGTATTTTCAGGGGTTTTTTAACCTTTTATAAGTTTATTTTTCCTTTTAATTTTCAATCACTTGCTCCAAGTGTCTAAATGCAATTCATATTTTATACATTAAACACAGTATCTCCTGGCTAAATTAGTGCTAGTGTTATGCTTTAGAAGTCTCTCATAATTTTCAATGTAAGCATTTGTGCCATCTGCAAATAGAAATATTATTGCCCTTTTCATACCTGATATTTTTTTATTTTATTACTTTTATTTGACTTACTGAATGCTGGGAACCTCTTGTTAAATATTGACTAATGTGATGAAAGTGGACTTTTTTGTTTCCCAATTTTTTATTGTTTTATTATTCATATGTGCATACAAGTCTTGGCTCATTTCTCCCCCCTGCCCCCACCCCCTCCCTTACCACCCACTCCGCCCCCTCCCTCTCCCCCACACCCCTCAATACCCAGCAGAAACTATTTTGCCCTTATCTCTAATTTTGTTGAAGAGAGAGTATAGGCAATAATAGGAAGGAACAAGTGTTCCTGGTTGAGATAAGGATAGCTATACAGGGAGTTGACTCACATTAATTTCCTGTACATGTGTGTTGCCTTCTAGGCTAATTCTTTTTGATCTAACCTTTTTTCTAGTTCCTGGTCCCCTTTTCCTATTGGCCTCAGTTGCTTTTAAGGTATCTGCTTTAGTTTCTCTGTGTTAAGGGCAACAAATTTTTTAGGTGTCTTACCTATCCTCACCCCTCCCTTGTGTGCTCTCACTTTTATCATGTGCTCAAAGTCCAATCCCCTTGTTGTGTTTGCCCTTGATCTAATGTCCACATATGAGGGAGAACATACGATTTTTGGTCTTTTGGGCCAGGCTAACCTCACTCAGAATGATGTTCTCCAATTCCATCCATTTACCAACGAATTATAACATTTTGTTCTTCTTCATGGCTGCATAAAATTCCATTGTGTATAGATACCACATTTTCTTAATCCATTCGTCAGTGCTGGGGCATCTTGGCTGTTTCCATAACTTGGCTATTGTGAATAGTGCTGCAATAAACATGGGTGTGCAGGTGCCCAACTTTAAGGGGGAAACCAGTCAATATTTTACTATTAGGAGTAGATAGATTGTACATGTGACTCATGCCTGTAACCCCAGCAACTTCAGAGGTGGAGATTCTGAGAATTTCAGTTTGAGGCCTACTGAGCAAAAATTAGTGAGACCCCCATCTCCACCTGGGCATTGTGCTGCACCCATGCATCACATAATGGTGTATTAATTCACTTTCCATTAATGAGTGTTTTCTAATTATCTTTATGTTGTTTATTTCTAGCTTTATTGTACTACATTTATAAATGATACTTTATATAATTGAAAATTATTAAAAGAAATTTATATATGTGCTGGCTTTTCATTCTAGGTAATATTTTTAATACGCTTTGTTTAACATTATTTTCATTGGTTTTGTATTCTAGATATATTCTATAGATCTTTAAAGTTGTCTATTGTGGCTCAGAGTTTTCACTTTATTCTACTTAAAAATTGGTGTGAAAATCTGTTCTGAAAGATCTAATCAGTACCTTTTTCATTTGATTTTATGGCATTTCAGTTTCCCTCAGCTATTATTTTTTTTCCTAACCAAGAAAGTCAACATTGCTCTTAACATTGATGATATCTTTGTGAAAAAATGATTTTAAAATGCATTACCATTTATAGACACATAATTTCCTATATAGCCTCATCAGTTAATAGATACATAGTTTTTGGCAAAAGATTTTAAAACTTTGCCAAGGAAAACCCAGAGAACTACAAAACCTGTAATGGTACCCTCTTTGATACAATCTGCAAATATTTCATAATTTCTCTGAGAATCATGTACTTGACACACAACCTGTAGCCCAATTTTCAAATAACACCATTCAGGATCCTTAGTATGAAATCCTAAGCAGAGCATTTTTCAAAATTCTCTATCGAAACGGCATTGCATTTAAGATCCCTGATGACTTTCCTGTCCCCTTTAAGGAAGGGGTAATAGACTGTCTTGACTTCCATACGACCATTTGTTGAATTTCTTAGTTCCCTTAAATTCCAATAAACTTAAATGTCAGCTGTGTTACATGCAACATCGCTTATAACTAAAATGTTTTTAATTGTAAAATACACCTGAATTGGGAGGACAATACATGAAATGTTTTTATGTCATATGTATCCCTGAGTGCAGTGATTTTTGTGACTGTAAACAGTCCTTGCAGGGCCCTGGAACTATATCTGACATTAGCATAAGATATATTGATTCCAGTGAGAATCATAAGGCTTCTAAGCTAGGATGTTCCTCTTCCTGTGCTGTCACTAGCTTTTCTGTCTAAAAACCCATGGGGACCTTGCTCACCAAAGGGAAATGTCTGGTAAAACTCTGCTGGTATGGTAAATATTTCAATTATGAAGTTCTGTATGTCTGTTCTGAAGACTATATAGTTATTACTTTTCTGTGATTATATATACTTAAATACTCATATTATTTAATCAAAATAATATTGTGATATATGTTGATTAGTTCCTTTATCATAAATCTTAATGGTTTATTTCTTTTGTCTGCTGTTTCCAATGGCTCCCAAGTTTGATGTCTTGTTTCCTTTTGGCTGGTTATTATATTTCTCTGTGTTTGATAGAAATAACTGAGGCTTGGGTTGATTATTTACTTACTCAGTTTACCCTAAGGTACAGCTTGTTCTTGACCATCTTATATGCAAGTTCAAGGCTTAAGATTCCCTAGACCTCCATGACTGCAAGTCTCTGTAAGGCTTGGTTACTTCTAGCTGTCTTTCATCCTGAAGACATCTTTGAGGTACATCAGTGAAATTTCTCATGAGGATATCTGTAAGGTATAACAACTAGACTGTGCATAGGAACATGCCCTAGTGTTTTTTTTTTTTTACTTTACCCCTCTCATCCCCAAAGAGCACTAAATCCACAACCCAGATTGATAGAACTTTCTTCCAACCTTTCAAATTCTGTCATTGCAAAAGAATTTTTGAATGTTTCATGTATTTCCCAGAGCTCTCACACATTGTGGTGATATAATTCCTTTTTACTCTGTAAGCTTTAACTTTATATTTAAAATATGCATAGCAGTTTATCATCTGCTTTAGTTGTGTTTCCCATTGGGATTGGCTAAAATAACCAACTTTTCAACTGTTGGAACAGAAGCTTCAAAGGTAAATTAGATGCACATGAGTGGAACACTAGATTCACACAACTGTACACAGGTCACACCATATTCAAGATGAAATTTCTTCACTTCTTGCTATCCTTGCTCAGGTGTTATGTTGCAGGAGCATGCTCTCCCCACTCTCTGCTTAAGCACATTAATTTCCCACACTTGTCACTGTTTCTGTTTTCTTTTTTTTTAAATTTTTTTCTACATAGTATTTATTCTCCTACCATAGTCTACAGCACTAACTTTTGGGTTTTCATGTCTGGACCCTATATTAGGACATAAATTCCATCTATTTGTGACCTGTAACACCAATAGCTTAAAGCAATGCCTGGAATATAAGAATTGCTCGATATGTTTCTTGATTGTATGAAAGAATAAAGAAAAATATAATACTATATTTCTATCCACTAAAAGGTAGAATTTGTTTCTGAATCACTATGGAAGGAAGAGAAAAGGGAAATAAATGTGATAGTTATCAAGACATGAAAGTGGATTATGTCTCGCAAAGGGGTAGACACAATATCAATGGAGAGACTCAAGTCTGCTCCAGCATCCTGAGAAGGATGTGGGTCTGACCATGAAGTATTCTAAAAATTTGTCTTCAGTCTTACCATTGTTACACTTCAAGCTGGACTATCTTCTTGAAAATTATTGACTTTTTCCACTGGATCCTTAGAAGTTAAGATTCTTGCTCATTCTAGCAGAGGAACTCATCTGGTTGGACCTCAACAGAGGAATTCACAAGTTAATCAGGGATGGCAACACCTATTCTTCTCTAGGAACCCCATAATTAGACAGAGCCAAAGACCAGGAACACAGACTAGAATTTTATGATCTAAAGTGTTCTTTCCTCACAGATTTTTTTTTATAAGAGTAATGTTTCCTGCCATTTTACTCTGTGATTATTCTTTGTTATTGCTCTTATGTTGCATTCAATCATAACTACAGTTATGATTTTATCTAGGAAGAAGATGATCTTGAAATGGAATATCCTAAAAGATGGAAGTATATATTATCTCTCTGTTACTATAACAAATAGATGAGATAATCAAGTTATACAGAGAAAAGATTCATCCGGGCCCACAGTTTTGGAAGTTTCAGTCCTTGATGAGTTGGCTTCATTGTTCAGAGTCTGTGGTGATACATGATGGCATGAACACATGGTGGGGCCAAAGCACTCATCTCATGTTCAGGCAAAAGAGATGAAAAAGAAGGGGCTAGGATCCCATTATCCCTGTGATGGCAATCCTGAATAAATGAACAATTCCTTACTAGGCTCAACCTCTCAAAGTTTCCACCACATCCCGATGAAACCACATGGACCTTTGAGGAACACCTATGATCAAAACTATAAAAGGTATGAAAACCTAAGTATATGGCACAGACTAACTTTTAAGAAAATATAAAAAATACTAAAATATTTTGAACAGATTTAATAATATTTAAATAAATTTGGGCTTATAACTATAAGTTTAATTTAGTTTAGTTAAAAATAACTACCTATGAGACTCTTCTATACTATGTGATCCAAAAATTTAATTCCTATATTTACTGAAAAGCTCCACAGTAGATAATGATGCATCAATGAATATGTTTCAATTACAGGCACTTGCTTTCATTTTGTTATATAATATGTATATTTACACACACATATATGGAATATTATTACTATATAAAATCTTACAAAATAACAAAAGTTGCTAAGAAAATATTTTCCTACCAAGATTTCTCTTCAGAGCCCCTCTAATCTCATTATTCCTGAGACTGTAGATGAGGGGGTTCAACATAGGGATCACTACCACGTAGAACACAGATATCACCTTGTTCTGGTCAGTGGAGTAGCTGGACTTGGGCATCACATAAATGAATGTAACTGTCCCATAGTACAGAGTGACCACAGTGAAGTGGGAGGTGCAGGTGGAGAAGGCCCTGTGGCGGCCATCAGTGGAGTGCATCTTCAGGATGGTGATGAGGATGTAGATGTAAGAGATGGCAATTACAATAACAGTGACTACAATGATGGAGCCAGAAGTAAATGAAGGAAGAACTGTGAGGACACTGAGCTCAGAACAGGAGAGTTCAACTACAGGAGCAAAATCACAGAAAAAGTGATTGATTCTATTTGATCCACAGAAAAGCAAAGAAAGGAAGGAAAGGGTAAAGGAAGAAGCATTCAGAAAACCACCTATGTAAGCTACTACAAGTAACTGGACACAGACTTGTGTGGACATTTTGGTTGGATACAGCAGTGGGTTGCAGATGGCCACAAATCGATCATATGCCATGGCAGCCAGAAGGAAGCACTCAGTTGATCCAAAGGAAACAATTAAACCAAGTTGAATGGCACATCCAAGATAGGAGATTGTATTTCTCTCCACAAGGAAGTTAATAAGCATACTGGGTGTAACTGAAGAGGAAATAACTACATCTACAAAAGCTAAGTGGCTCAGAAAAAAGTACATGGGATGCTGGAGCTGAGAAGAGACTCTGATAAGAATGATTGTGCTGAGATTGCCAGATATGGTGACCAGGTAGATGCACAGGATGATCATGAAGAGGAAGACTCGAAGGACTGGGTCATCTGTTAAGCCTAACAAAACGAACTCTGTCACTGCAGTGTGGTTTCCATCAGCCTGAGAATCCATCAGAGAATGTAGCTGCTGCCAAAACAATCATGATAAAGCATTACATTAAAGAATTTATGAATATTATGATTTTATTTTCATTAACATCTATGTCATTATGTTATTATAAATAGATATTCAATACCAATGCATATTTACATGTAATGATAATTCTGTCTATAAATTTAATATTGACATTAGCACAAACACCTGAAACATTTCTACATATAATGTAAATATTTTTTAAGCCTAATAATAACAACATAGGATAGATGAATAAAATAAAAATAAATGCTGTGAATAGTAGAAAAAACATACAAAACATTTTGCAAAAACTGGATAATAGCTGTATATAAATAATATATTTATTACATGCTTTTTCAACAGTTAAAAATTATATATGAATACAAATATGTGAAGCTAATCACATTTTAATATAATTAGAATACTATTATTATTATTATTATTTTATAGTTATGCTAGTGGACTCAAAGAGATTGCATAACTTGCACAAGGATACAGAGCAAATGGTAAAATCACAACAGAAACACCAGGAAGTTTGATTGCCCATCCCCTTAGTAACTGTAAAGTGATGAAGTTAATTACTGTGAAGTGAGTGGCTAACAGGTTTCTTTAAGCTCTGTAACAGCGAATGTGTGAAAGGGTTACCTAGGTTGCTCTATACTTCAAAATATCTAATAGTGAAATACAATTTTGTCTGGCAGAGATGTACTAGTGTGGGTTCCAATACACAAATGCATGGAAGCTATCTCTTTATTTATTCATTTATTCATATGTGCATACATTGTTTGGGCCATTTCTCCCTCCTGCCTCCTGCCCCCTCCCTCTTCCCCCCACTCTCCTTGCTCCCAGGCAGAGCCTGTTATCTTTATTTCAAACTAGAAAAAAATGCTATGTCTTTCTTCTTATCTCCTATGTTTTCTCTTCAACAAAATCAGAGAAAAAGAGAGTGGAACAGGTTTTGCCCCAAAGTGGGGTGTGTGGGAGAGAAGGGTGGAGGTGGCCCAAACAATGTATACAAATGTAAGTAAATGTTAAAATGATAAAATAAAAGAAAGAAGAAATAAAATTGATGGTTATGCACCCCCCCACCCCTGCCAAGTGTAAGGGTAGGTACTCTCAGAGTTTTCCCATCAATTATGTTTCTTTCAGCCAAGAGAATTTCTCAACAGACTATGACTCTGCATGTTAGCATCTGGCTTTCACTGAAGGATGAGTATGGGTCCCCAGCCCCACTCAAAGATCCAGGAAAGACATTAAAAGATTCGGGTATCTTTAAAAAGTCCTAATTCACTGTATTCACAGCTAACTGATGCCCTAAACTTTATCTGTTAGCACTGAGATTTTGGTAACCAGTGGAGACCATCCAAATGCCCCTCCTAGTAGAGTTCCTTTTTAATCACTGCTTTCTCTTTCAGGTAAAAAAGAGGCTTCTTGGATATTTGTGTCAAATCTCAATTAATGGGCAGGATTTGGGATGCCTTACATCTAAACATGTGCTTTTCAAACAAAAAGAATATAATACAGAAAAAGGAAGGTACAGAGAAATATACAAATGACAGTATATTCAACATAATACTATTCAGCTATAAAAAGGATGAATTATGTCATTACTACATGAATGGAACTAGAGATCACTATGTTACGAAAAATAAATCAGACATAGAAATACAAGTAATGTCTGATCTTGCTATTGCATGGAATATAAAGGTGTTTATTTCATAGAATTTCTGGGTAGAATGTTGGATACCAAAGGCTAGGGAGAGTCAGTGAGAAGGGGGTGAGGGAAGATGTTGATTGGTGAGTATTACTGATAGTTAAATAGGAGTAAAAAGTTCTTGCATGCTATTGCAGTTTATTGACTATAGATCATAGTAATGTACTATCTGTTTTAAAAAGCTAGAAGAAAGAATTTTGAATATTTTCACTATATATAAACAATAAATGGATTCAAGATGGTGGATTAGAGGCACCCAATACTTCTATCTTTAAGAGAAAGACCCAAAACAACAGGTGTATAGCCTCATCTTGAGAATGTGTGGAATAAGACAGCACTGGAGTTCAATAGCAGAGTGTCAGGTACCATGTGAAATTCAGAAATCTTAGATAGTTCCATAGTAAGAAAAAGAATAGCCCAACACTGAAATGTAATGGCTTGACAGAGAAGGGAAGGTATGCTCTCCACAGTGGTAAGTAAAGGAGAGAGTCCTGGCAATTTTCAGAAGGGCAGAATCAGGCATCTTGCAAACATATAGTCTAAACACACAAGAGGCTTAGAATCTGCATAGCAAGATGGCACCAGAGAAGAAGTTCTGTGCACTTTCCAGTATATTCATAGGATGTCTTAGCAGGGCACCATCTGGAGTATGGTCCTGTTGTCTAAGTTAATTTCTCAGGGATCACTAGCACTGCATTTTTATATCTTCAAGAATCAGTGGCCTCTTCTCTGTACTGACTCAGCAGTTGGCTACTCAGAAGAACAGTTTTGGCCCAGAGTAGTGTTTCTAGCACAAATCCCCCTGAGAATTCTAGGCAGTGGGAAGTATGGACAGTGATGCAAAGGGAAGCTCAGGCATTTCCCTTTAAAATTGATGGTTCCTGGGAAATCTGGCATTAGAACCTAAGGAGAGAGCAATCGTGTATATTTTCATCTAGGATCCTAGTTTGGGTCCAGAATGAAGGTAGAACAGATTAGAGATCATAAACACTGGGAATGAGAATCCAGTGAATGGAGAATAAATGCAATATTAATGAATAATTTGATTGGAACTCACATGCCTTTTCCTTAGTCTCACACTCCCTCACTAAATTGTAGGGGATGATAGAAAAGCAGCTCCTCTAATATTGCCCAACTCATTGATATGCCCTGAAAACTGGAGGAGTATATTTTGAAGGAAAATCACTTATTGTGCCAAAATAAAACATTTAGTAGGCTGAATCCTTTGATGCTAGAAGCTTATAGTAGAAGAAACAGGCACCCATGGGGTAATGACCCAGATTTAGTAAAACTGATCAAGACTTACTGCATCATGGCCAAACTGAGGTCAAAACATTGTAGCAACCACAATGATCGAATATACCAGGTACCCAAAACAAAGGAGCACTTATCTAAAGGAATGTTTAACCTAAGACATCTACCCTACTTTGCTTTAGTGCCTATATTTCCCTGATGTTAAAAGACTCATTTTGTTCCTCTTAATACACAGATTCTGCCTATAGGGTTGTGTATTGTCTTTTGCTTTGCTTGCTGAATAAAACTGCTAGTCTCTTACACCAAGTCTCCTTCATAAATTCTTTTCTGCATCAGAGACAAGAAGTAGAGGTTGTCTCCATTTTGGGGAACCCTTTGGATGACAGGATCATCAGTGGGAATTGCATAGAACCTCCCACAAACTTTCCCATTACAGATCTTTGTGGTGGTGACCCCATGGCCTTTCCCCACCTGGAGAGACTCCCACAGGTATGCTCCATTCTTTGTCACACCCTGCTATCTTATAGCCTAGGGAGATTAGGAGAGAATCTTTGCTTAGAGAGCAACATATGTCATGCTATCTGGTTAACACACCTTAGGGCTAGTATTTCCCCAGCCCTAGGAGATTCTTGCACAAAATCTCTGAAAAGAAACTTTGTCTACTGAGCTCACATTCATCCAATGCTCATTGACACACTGCAGAGCAGCTTTAGGCCCTGCCCTTGGAGCACCCCATCCAGGGGAGTAGGAGAAAGTAGAATCACTCCCTAAAGAGTTCCATACTGTGCAAGCTTGCGCCTTCAAACACACAAAATAGTGGAGAAGATTAAAAAATGTCAACCTCAAGTCACTCCCACCAGTCAACTGGTAAGCGCCACAAAGGAAAAAACTAGGGGCTGGATCACTCCTAATCATTGCTTTATTATTTTTCTTTATAGTTTCCCTCTTTTCAATTGTGAATTTTTTTCCTTATTTATCCTTTTAGTCACTTTTTACTTTCCACCTTCTTTATTTTTGCTTTTTGGTTATCTTATTGTATTGTATATTTTCTTACCTTTTTCTGTTAACTTTTAAAAAGTTACATTATATTTATATTTTTATTCTATATATATTTTTAAATTTAATTATTTATTGTGACAAGATATAAATGACATAAAATTTATCATTTTCAATCTTTTAAGTATATAATTCAGTGGCATGAAGTATGTTAGCATTTTCAATGTTGTACTAACATCACCAGTATACATGTTCAGGATTTCTCATCTTCCCAAATGGAAACTCTTTATACCCATTAATCAATAAATCCTTTTTACCTTCCCATCAGCCTCTGATAACCATTCTTCTGATTCTGTCTTTATGAATTTGTCTATTCTCTGTATCTCTTATGAGTACAATGATTCATGTATCCTTTCATGTCTGGTTTATTTCTCTTAGTATAATGTTTTAATAGTTAATAGTTTTAATAGGGAATAGTTTGGTGTTTTAGAGAGGTTCATTCACATTGTAGCAAGGCTGAATAAGATTCAATTTTGTTTATCTATGGCATTTGGTTATCCATTCATTTATCAATGGACATTTGATTGATTTCCCTTTTTTTGGCTACTGTGAATAATGCTGCTATGAACATTGATACACAGATATCTATTTGGTGTAGTACCTGACTTTAAATTGTTTTGTCATATACCTGGAGGTAGAATTGATCATATAGATCATATAGTGATTTTAGCTTTAACCTGTCATACTGTTTTCCAAAATGGTGTTTCCCCAGCATTTTACATTCTTAACAATTAATACACAAGGGATGCAGCTTTTTCACTTTCTATATATTCTTACCTTTCTTCTGTTACTGCTGTTGTTGTTGTTTTGGCATCTATATCCATCTATCTACCTATATCATAGCACTCGGTGCACATTGGGCAGGTGTTCAGATGCATAGCTGAGGGGAAACTCCTCTGAAATGCAGCTGCCAAAATATGCTACCTGTCATTTGTTCCATTTCTTTCCAAGAACTTTTCTCCTCTGAACATAT